TCTAGGCCACGCGGACATCACGAGGAGGCAGAAGAGAAGAGGAGGGAGGTTGCGCGAAGCACGAGCCCAACGTCACCAGCCACGTGGGTTGTATCGCGAGGCACGAGCCCGACGCCATCAGCTACGGGGGTGGCGTCGAACAGCACGAGGCGAACGTCGCCAGCTATGAGAGTGGCCCAAAGAAGCACGAGCCCAACACCATCAGTTACGAGGGTCAGGGTGGTACAGTGAAGCACGAGCCCGACGAGATCAGCTACGGTGCCAGAAGGGACGGCAGTGGCGGCAGTGGCAGCTCAAGGTAGTGGCAGTCCAGGCAGTTGTGGCAGTTGCAGCTCAGGCACTGGCAGCTCAGTGGCAGTGTCGGCAGTGGCAGCTCAAGGCAGTGGCAACTCAGGCAGTAACAGCCCAAGCGCAGTGCAAGAAGCGACGTCGCCTCCCAACCACGACATCCAGGCGCTGCTTGACACGGCGTACAAGCTATTCATTGCAAGACGGCCCGACGTGGCACTCAGGGCATTTCAAAAGATCTACAAAGCCGCTCCAAACGCCATGCGGCATCCTTGTATTTAGCACGTGCACGACAGCATCGCTATCTGCCTCAAGGACGGGCAATGCTGCGAGCACCTGGTGAAGGAATAATGGCATATATACAGCCGAGGAGGGGAAGGAGCAGGAGATGCCTGACAGCGACGCGGGGGACGAGGAGGACGAGGGCATGGGGGTACAGGTACACGCTCAACAAGCGCAGCGGCACGCCGCAGGCCAGCCGCGGTCTGGCAGGGAGAGCGAGAAGGGACACCTGTGGAAGCATGCGGGGCAAGGCGTGGACGAGGCGACGTCAGCAGCTAAAAACCAAGTCTACGTGGGGAGCTTGTCTTACGACGCCGACTGGCGCGACCTGAAGGACCACATGAAGCAGACGGGCAGCGTGGAGTTCTGCAGAATGCTCACAGAAGACGGTACCGTTTACGGCAGATCGTTCGGATACGGTCAGGTACGCTTCTCCACAGAAAAGGAAGCTACTAAGGCCATAGTCACCGTGGACGAGACGGAGCTCAAGAACCGGAGGATTCGGGTTCGGACGAGGTCTGGCGCAAAAGGGACGCCGATTTGCCACGTGCGCGGCAACTAGATCGGTGCTGGTGTGGTGTGAGAAGAGCTGGAATGGCATAGCCCGGGATCTCACGTAACTGCTGCCAGGCGCGAGCCGGAGGCAGGGGCTGCTGCAGCTGATCAGCGCGTGCGAGAGTTCCGGGCAGCGGAGCGGGAGGCAGGGAGCGGAACGCGGCGGCCTGGCCAGGGAGGCCTCGAGCGCCCTGGCGCGGGGCGGCCGTGCGGGAGAGTCCGCGTGGACGTGCGAGAGAGGACAGCGTAAGCCCAAGAAGCATCAACAATAAACCTTCCCTCCAAGTTCCCTCGGGACATGGCCCATTAGAAGACAACCGTTTGAGAACCCTCAGTCGTTTCAAAACACCGATCCTGGAGCTTCCACGCCGCGGAACAACATGATTGACCGTTGCGTCCTGACAACCCTAAACCGTGCCAGAACGTCGTCACTGGAACTTAAACACCACGAGCCATAACTGTTGCATCTTGGCAATTCTAAAACGTGCCAGAACACTATCCCTTGGACTTCGACCACACGGAATTCTCAAACTTGTTGCAAATAATTGAATCGAATGTGCTCGGCGCTAAGACGAGAACCACATTGTGAAAGGGAACCTGCCTCCACCCGTGAAGCTTTTGCAAAGTGTTGAGACGAATGTGCGCGGCGCTACGGCGATGTTGAAAACCACCGGCCCTTCGTTTGTGAGCTTGTCGCAAGCTTTTGAACCGCGTGTGCGCGGCACTATGTACTGCGAGACCCACATGTTGGAAAAGGCCCCGCCCTCCATCCCAAAACCAATTGCAAACTCTCGAGACGAATCTGCTCGCCGCTAAAGTGAAAACAACATTTTTTAGAAAAGGACCCGCGCCCCCATCCGTGAAGCTGTTTGTTCCAAATCATAAACTGGCCATCGCTCGGACGTCCATTCCCTGTGTTTTTTTTTGGTTTCGTGCGTGGTTTTTTCGCCAAATGATCAAGGATGCTCCTCGATGGTCCTCGCCGAAGGAAAAATGCACACGTCCGAGCGATGCCAAGTAAACGGCGAGGAAGTCTCAGGCGGAACGCCCGGCCCGCCCTAGCGACGCGTCTGGGGGCGCGACAGGGGGGAGTATTTAAATGGAGAAGGAATAGAGGGGGATCTCCCCCTTCGATCGGCTTGGCTCGAGCTCGCTTCGCTGGGTCGCGCCGCGCGTGCCTCCCGCGTCGGCGCTGACGCCGTCGCCGCCGAGGCGCCCGCTTCCGAGGTGGACTCGTGGTCGTGCACGGCCTTCTGTTCGACTCGCTGGTGGGGGGCAACGATAGTCGGGTCGGGCGAAAGGGGGGGATAGCAAAGGGGGGGTTTGAGAATCAGCTCACGTAGCTGATTTTCCCGGCGCCTCCCGGCGCCGGAGG